TCGGCAGTCAATTCGAGAAATGAGTACCCTATGACTCGGAATTTCTATTACGTACACCGGCAGAAACGGTTTTTTTCGCATTTTGCAGCTGTTTGAAAAAGTTACTTTCACCTGCTGTTTCAAACGTACATAAGTACTCGAGCACACACACGTACGTCCGTGATTTTACGTATTATACAAATAAATATTTGCGAGCTCTAGGGCCCGCTCCTAGATTTTCTAAAGCGCCGTTATGTTTGTCGTGCGTATAATAATTGGATTTGCTCGGGCCTCGCAATTCATTATCCAAAATAGTGGATGTCAGCGAGCGGCAGTAGCAGTATATGTATATAGAAATTAGAATATCGAAGTTTCAAAAAAGTGCGCGTAGCCGGCAATTAGCATGGCGCGCTCGGTGGCTGCAGTAGTCTAGTGGCAGGCAGTGCAGTGCAGGCGGCGATTTCATCGCCACCGCGGCGGCGGGGCAGCGCCGCGCTAAATTGCATAGAAAGTTAATTTAACGAGCGATAAAATTGTATGCATCTTATCTTCTGCGCGTTGCCTATAGAAAGTTAGAGCTAAATTGAAAGTATTACAATCGTCACACTGAACTGGGTATTAAATCTGAAAGTTTTTTCTCTCTTTTAGCGAGCGCGCGATATATCATAAGTTTGGGAATTCACAGGTATTATACTCGGATGGACCGCCGATTTATCGAGCAGATTTATATAAAGTTCATTTCTTACATTCTGTTAAATACTGTAGTACAGTAGTTCCTTCGGTATACGATTGATTTGCTTCCTTTTGTACGTATCGATAGTGGATCGATAAAAAAGAGGAGAACAATGGCGAGGGGCTACCGTGCGTGATGTTTTGTTGTGTACTTTATGTGATCGCGCACGAGTAACGATGATGATTTGTAACAGCTCGTTCCAAAAGTCACTGCCATATATCCTACAAAATGTACATCCAATAATGAGTGTACGCAGCGGAGATCTTCTTTCGAGATACAACTCATCGGCTGATGTCATCTGACAATGGTACACATAACAAAACAAATTACACGAGGCCCGCGAAACAGGTGTAGCAGGAAGTCGAGGCGATCTAATGACTCGTACTCGAGGAGGCGATCGAGATTTCTCAATTTCTATGCGCGCTGCGACGTTTTTAGCGCGGCTCCATGGACAAAAAAAAGGTGACGGAAAAATATGGAACGACGTCGCGTCCCGCGATGAGTCGTTCGCGCTGTTTACGATTTCACTTACTCTTTTCAGCGGCAGCAGCAAACCGCGCGGATGACGTCTCCTTATCGCGCTACACTCGCGTGTTTTCATGGTACATACGTCCGTGTGTGTACTGCCTCCGGACCGTGCATGTACGTAGATATACGTGTGAATACTTTCGATTTGCTTACTACTACCCGGCTCCGGCTTACCGCAAAATAGTCAATAGTGTGTATGTACGCTCGCGCGAGATATACGTGTCAGTTGGGAGGCCCACTTAATGTGATTATTATATACGTACACTCTCTAGAGAGTGAACGTTTTGGTCACGCTGATTCGTACATACAACAGATATATATAATAAATGTATACAATCGAAAGTGTATCGTAATATACGTCAGATATCTGACGTGTGAAAAGGAGAAAAATGTTATTTTTTTCAAAATTTTAAGCCACTACAAGTTTTCACTTTTTTATTCGGAATTTATTCTTCTCGCATAAATCTCGGCATCGAAAAGATTAATCCAAAATAGAAAATGTCGTCACTTTTACTTGCGCGCTCGGATTATACATCTTTGATTTTTTAAATTCCGTTGATTTCTAAACACTTGTAATGTATACTGAATTTTCTCAAAAATCGTATGAAACAGGACTGAATAAGATTACATTGTGTACACGTCAATGAGTAAAGGACTTTTGATTATTATGGTAAAGCAAAGCTCGTGAAATGTTGAGCCGCATTGAATTAGACGAAAACAGCCAAAGATTTACGACATCGTGTAGTTACAACGGAAGATGAGCTCATTGAAGCATAGAAAAAAAGGTTGTTTTGCAAAGAAACAAAGAGCGCGTAAAAAAAATAGTACGTCGCAGAGAGACACTTGTCGCGCAATTTCGTACGTAGGGCGGTGACACAAGTCAAAAGTATTTCCGCGCTTCGTAGATTCAATATATAATAACACGCGATGAAAAGGTGGCCCATGTGCTTAGCTCATATTTCCGTCGAAAGTAGGCACATGAACAGTTACAAAGCCGCGCAAAGTGCTCGCCGAGATATCCCACTCTTTTTCGCGCATTATATATAGTTTATATATGCGTACTCCACGAGGCACACGGTCGTGCATGCAAAGCGAGCCTCTCACACGCTTCAGGTATTCGCGATCGAAGCCAAGCCTTTACTTTTCTCCCATACATAACCACGTGCTGCTGCTGCTCTGCGCTCATCATTGCCGCCTCGTATAGGACTCGGTATAGCCGACGCGCTTCCTCGGCTGCATACTACATACGATTCAATCTGCATTACAAGTACATGACATTTCTCATCGTGCGTGCGTGCGCACGCTGTGCAGGCGGCGCGGAGCGAGCTCGGAAAACGCAATTTTTCTCTGCGGAGCGCGTAAGTTGCCACTGCTGTATGAATGCGAGCGCGCGTGACCTACGCGTAATTGCCAGGTGTGCGCTGCTATACAATAAAAGCATGTGTACAAGACACGCGCGCGGCAGCGTTCGATCGTGATATTTTTTTTTCGCAGTATTATGTGCGATGGCTGTGCAACGCAACCACCACCTCGTCGTTGTAGTCGTCGTCGTTCTTTTATTGTGTAATTTTTGCACATGGCACATGAGCTGCTGCTGCTGCTACTGCGACGGTATATAGGGAGAGCTTTACCGCACATTGCTGCTGGTGCGACGCGCCGCGGCTCCGAGAGTATCTAATTGAAGGCTAAGGTATTTCCATTATACGCGCGTTGGCAAGGACCTGCACCAGCAGCAGCACTGCGATGCGTATATATATTTTTAGATTTCTAATTAAAGCGCCCCAGCTTGAATGGTACGCGATAAATCAAAGGCAGAGAGAAAGAGTGCACTTATTAGCCAAAGCAGCCACCGCTGCTCTTGTGTCCACCAGGGCCAAACGTAAAAATCAATCAAGAGCACTGCCGCCGCGCTGCACACATTACATTATCCGATATCGGTAATTATTTTTGCCCGCAGCTGCTATTGCTCTCGAGTATTTCGCAGCAACGAATCGATGCGCATTCCCTATCATCCCGAGCTTCGTGCAGCGGGATGATGATCATTCGTGCGAGGTATTTGGAGAAATTGATTTACCACGCTGTTGCCTGCCTGCCTTCCTGCCTGCCACCGCTGCTGCTGCTGCTGCTGGTGTTGTATGCGCGCGGCTGCGTTAAAGGTCACGATAGTGACGTGTGCCAGGGCTGTTGTTGCTGCTGCTGCTGTGGAAAGGTTATTCCGAATTAAACGCGAAACTGCGCATTGGCTAGACCGCAAATTATACCGATATTTGTCTACTGTCGCTCTCGGAGTTTATCAAATATTACAAGGTGACGGGAATCATCAGGGGACGCGCCCGCGCATGTAGACGCGCGAGAGAGATGATGTATACAGGAAAAAATTATAAGCGCCACGCTGGATGCGTGCGTACATGAGAGAGAGCACGCGAGTTCCGATGTGGGAATAATCAATGAATGCAATTAACGTGATCGAAGAATGTGTAATGCGATTTAATTAAAGTGACTCGAGAGCGCTAGAATTGTCGATAGTTTATTAGTACGATAGGAGCACTTACAGATAGTTATGCAATCATCGTCGCGTAAAAGTTATATTATGTTATGATATGAATGTTTGATTTGCATGCACGCGTGCGTCCCAGCTGCTGTTCTCACGCTCATATGCAACAGCAGACAATTTGCTTCGTTTTATTAGTGTTTGTTTTTCTTGCGAACTTTATTATTTTCGAGCGATTTTTCTGCAATATACTTGGCTCGTGGGCATATCGGAGTTGACAAACTTTTTTTCTGCGATCGAGGCCTTTAATAAAAATCTGGCAACGACCATATTTTCTTTGATGTTATTTCTTCACTTTTCAATGCATTTTTATTCCGAAAATTGCTCGCGTAACTTTGATCTTAACGTGTTAAATGAATTTAAAATTCGAGCTTCATACATAATTGTTTCCCGAAAGAACTTAAGTATGCGAGGCTTGTAGAATTATATTTCATTAATTTTGCCCTGAAATATTTAGCAGTACTGATGAAAGCCGCTCGAATTCTGACTTGGAAGTTTTCTTTTTAACGTCTATACGATCTTTTCACTGGCGTTTGTTTGAATTATACATCGGTGTTCTGCAATTTTTATTGAAATATAAATATTTTATCAAGTACGCGAGTATCGAGCTCGCAAAATTATTAATTAATATCTTGTAAAAGTAGAAGCATTTTAAATAATTTAAAATGTAATTAGCCAAAATTCGAAAAATGTTTTTCAATTAATTTCAATTTTTAGCTTATTAAATATTGTATCTTATCAAAGATGTTTTCATAAAATATGTAATATTTAATTATTTACCAACGCATTTATTAAAACCTAAGAGCTATGAACGATGGAAAGAAATGTTTAATTAAGCAGCTTGTGTTAAATAATAAGTGTATACCTCTTTTAATAATTAAACGCACGAGTGAATTTAATAATAATTATTTAATTTTTATACTCTTCAAAGGATAATAAGATGCAAAGTAGCATCATATTTTATTACAAAATATAATGTTCGTGTAAAAGAGAGCAATTTTTAAAAGTGAAATTATTACTTTGCAGGTACAAAGAAGAGCAGCCGTTGGTGTGCGGGCGAGATATGTAGCTGCGGTCAAGTGCACGAGTTGTCTCTCTCGTGTGGCGCGCAAGCTCGCTTAAAGCAGTTCCGGAGTAAACCTAGAGCGTGTGTGTGACTCGAAGTCGAAGAATTAGATCGAATGGTAGTAAATTTTTGGTCCAGCGAAGATGAGTGCGCTGACGGCAACGAGTCCCGGTGCTCAGAGCATTTCGATCGGAGGCCCGGTCCGTCCATCGACCAATGGCTCTCACAGCTACCAGCAACAGTCTCAAAATCAGCAGCAGCAGCAGCTCGGGACAGCGACGGTCTACGTGACGGCCAGTCCAACGCCGAGCTTGGGCTCGCAGGATGGCGATCAACAACAGCAAGCTGCAGCCGCTCATTCGGCTCACGTCGTGAAAATTCGCATCAGTCCGAGCTGCAACGGTAACAGCGGCATAAGCAGTAGCATCGAGTCGAGGTCCGAGCCGATCTCCCCGACGACGAGCTCGAAAGGAGCAAAGCGAATCGTCTCGGCGGTCAGACTCAACGAGGAGGAGCCCAGCAGCATCATCACCGGAGTCTCGCTGGTTTCGTTGCAAAAAGTCGGAGCGGATAACGACGAGGTCATGCACGTGTCGAGCCACGGGCCCGTTCGCATCAGCGTCAAGAGCACCTACTCGTCGAGCGAGTCGGTGGGCTCGTCCTCGACGGACATGAACACGAGCAAGGAGACGCTGCCGGGCTGCTTCTGCTGCAGCAGTCCGCCCAACTCGATGCTCAGCGGTCACTGCTCGCCCTCGGAGACGCTGGACAGCGGCACCTGTTCGGATCTCGACGGTACGCCGCCACCTCCGTCGCTGCAGCAGCGTCAGCTGTTGAAAAAAACAAGCAGCAGCGACGCCCCGACGAGCATGATGATGCCGACTCTGAGGGGATCGAGCGGCAGCGCGACGAGTAGCGGCGCCGAGCTCGACAGCGACGACGACGTCGAGTCGAGCATCAGCTGCGACAGCATCGAGGTCTCGTCCACGATATCGTCCTCGACGACGCTGCAGCAGGCCTACAGCAATAACAACAACAAAAAGCCCCTCGTGAGCGAGCGCACCTACGAGGAGCGCAGTCGGCCTATCCCGATCCGAGGGGCCGGCGCCGAGCCCAGCGAGTCCAATGGACGCTGCTACCTCTACGAGGACGACCGTCACTACCAATTCCACGTGAACGAGCGCGAGGAGGTGAGGAAGATGGAGCAGCAGCTCGCCGCCCAGAATCTGGCCAACGCCAGCGAGCAAGAGCAAGAGTTCTTCGCCGGGGTGCAGACGGGCCGCGACAAGGAGGCCATTCGCAGTGCCAAGGGGACGGTGCGCGGCGTCAAGAATCGCGTCAGAGCCGGCATCGCCACTTTCCTTCAGACTCCTGCAGCCAAGGTAGGCTCTACATATTTTTGATCCTTCCTTTTACCTCGACTTAGGCTCGTTCTCGACTTCTCCGCGCGCGGCTGCAATTTCTCGGGTAATTCATCAACTTGATCGATAATACTACCCGCGTGAATCGCATTTGTCGAGTATCGGCGCTCGTTTTTCAGCTGCATTGGCTGAATCGCAGCTGAAGGGCACAGGTCAGTGCGGTACACAGCACAAGCACGTATGCATCGCAATTTACATTACGTACATTCGCTGCTGCTTATACACTCGCGGCGGCTGCAATTAAACTTCTCGTTTCGCAAAGGGCGATCTCGGTCTAAACCATTTTCCGTTGTTGCAAGTACCTTATTCTCGAGTAGTTTGCTGCTGCTACTCGAGCTCTGTGCAGCAGCAATCGTGAGCGTCTTTCATTACGATTATGCTTTGGCGAAAATTCAAGTTTACCGGGAGAGCCCCGCAGCTTATGTGTATGTGTGTGTGTACCCGGGGCAATGTTTTACGTGTGGTCTCATTACTGCACGAAGCGGAGCAATAGTGTTGGCAGCGCGGGCACAGAACCGCACGAATATCAATATTCCCGATGTTGTATATATACGTTATGCACGTGCCCTTCCCCTCTTCCCTCTTTTGCCTCGTGTATACATGCATACTTGATGACTGCATACATCCCGTATAAACAGTGTAACCAAAGCTTGTAGTGCGCGCTGTATATGGGCTCTTGTGTGTGCTTTTCCTTGATGTGTTCTACGCGGCTGCACGAGTTCGACTTGGGTAAATTGTGACACGCCATAGTACGCTCGAGAGCAGCACTATCATACGCCCAGGCTAAAACGGCCTAATTACGCAGTTCAGTTTGCGGCTCTTTGATTGACCGCGTGCCAAAGGATCGACGCGAGTCTCCAGGGAGTTAGGCTGCGACACATTTGCTTTCGCGCGCTACTCTATTATATCCGAATTTCAATGATTTTCCTATACGCTTCTACTTTTCTTTTCTTTTTTTTTTATTTTGATCTAGTTTGAACTCGTGGTTTAAATTAAAACAATTTCTGATTCCCTTCGTATGCTAAAATAATCAGCTCATTTACAAATGGAAGTTTACCCACGTTCGTGAATGCAATTCGTGACTCTCCCAATTCCTGCTCGCGAGAGAATAACAAACATAAAGCATCGTAGGTATACCAATCGTATCATTCACAAACTCGATTCAACATATTGTAGTTTTAGGAGGTAAAATATGACCAGATGAGTCCATTTGTTTACTTAGAGAGGCGAACGTAAATATTACCAAAAATATGATTCTCGCGAGCAAGGAGATGTCAACAAAATCAACCAACTGGCTACGTATGAGCTTTAGTTACGCTCTGAATTGTGAATATGTAGTACAGTTAATTTATGTGTTGAATTTGTGTTTTAAGTGTGAACGTTAAATGGAAATAAATGTAAATCACGTGTCGTGTCATCGTCAAATTTTGAATTCGAACCATTTAATCAACCGTAAGAAGCAAAGAACTAGATATGAGTGTAAATTGCAAAGAACCAGATACGAATGCAAGTGGCAACGATACTAATGCAAGTGGCGACAAACCAGCTCCGAAAGTAAGTCGCGATACGCTATTTCTCATTCGAGTCGACGCGATGTAATCCTTCAGGGATAAAATCGCAGAGCTCAAGCGTGCTCTACATCGCGTAAACTATTTCGAAGACGGATTAGCGCGAGTACACACACTACTCACTGTAATTATTCAAACTATTTTAAATTTGAAACGATTCGTCCTCTCGACTAATGCCTCTATCGAAAAAGATTATTATTCATACGCGCATTACCGGCGTATAAATACTTGTGGCGGCAAGTTATGCACGCGTTGACATTCTCTACCGGGTTCATTCCCGATCGCGCACAGCATATTCTCGCTCGTCAAGTATCGCGCCTAATGGTACGCGACGTCGCGCGCTTATGCACGGCTGTTTTATTTATGGAAAAAGCTCAAACGCTTGCCGCATAACGGTCAATGGACGCTGAACAATTTTTCCGTACACAATTAATACGTCCGTTTGTGTTGGATGATAGATTTAGCCGTTTATGCATCGTATCGATATAGCACTGGCTGCGGGCTCGAGTGTATATCGACGTGCTGCTGCAGCTGCACGAGCAGCGAAGCGCAAAGATACAAACGACGACATTGTCGTTTCGCATGTTGTGCGCGAGCCGGAGAGCCAGAGAGAGAAACAGAGAGAGCTGTTATCCGCGCTCCGCAAGTTTAACGCAGGTATTATATGCTGTATAGCAGCGAAACGAGAGCGATATAATCAACGTGTATGCGTGTCCGCAGTCGAGACACGATGGGCTTTTAAAGCAGTGGCCCGCGCGATGCAATAACAATTGGCATACTAGTGCGCGCTCGTCGGGCGAACGTCGAGCTCGAGACCAGCTTCTCCCCTTCCCTCCCCCGATAACTGTAACGACAGACTATTTCCATGATATATATTGCCATAGTTTGAAGTCGCGCGCATAGTTTGCAGTCCGCGCGTGCATGTAAACGTGCATGCGAACGCGTGTATCTGTATATGGCTCGTGTCGAAGCGTGCTAGCTGCACGACGCGATCCAGAGCGACCATTGAAAATTAATTTGAATAAGATGGCGAGCGCCGCATCGTTTCGGTCTCTGCCTTTCTCTCTCTCTCTCTCTATCTCTGTCTCTCTGTACACCGACAAGTACGCGAGTAAACAAGCGAGCTCGTTGTTGACTAACTCTCGAAATAAATCCTGCTCTAATTAACATGTGTCAGGCAACAATGGCAATTATAATTAGCGAGGCAGGAGCGATCGCGAGGCGTATTCTCTCACACACCGGCGTAGTATTCCCGCGCCCAGTTGAATTTTCTCTTTTCGCATGCAAATTGCATAGGTACATGCATGTACGCTACCGGCGAGGAAAAAAAAGGATTTTCGTCGTAACGCGTTTATACACACGATATGCCCCGTGCGCGCTGCACTGCTTGCGAATTCCGCGCCGCGAGTCAAGCGTATATATATAAGCGTATGTATGTATATGTACGTTGGTCGAAAGAAGAGCTGCAGTTATAAGTATATACATATAAGAAACGAGCGAAGAAGGAGCGCGAGACTCGTGCAGTTGCGGTGCGGTGCAACGTAGTGGCGCGCTGGAGAGGGGTAAATGAAAATTAACGGGTTAATGCGAGTCTGAATGCAGAATCACTGCACAATAAATCCGTTAAGATTGCTGCCTCGCGCGCGCGAGCGGCGCATACAGGTGGTTTTGCTCGGCTACGTGCGTACTCTGCAGCTGTGTGTAGGTATACGTATGTACATATATGTGTACCACGAGCTCTCGATGCACTGCAGCAGCAGCATATATAGCTCTACGTTAAGCGAGTCGTTGCGCTGCACCGACGCGACTTTCGAGTGCCGTTTCGTATGTGCCGAGGCTACGAGCGAGAAATAGAGCGGCATGTGTGTGCGTTATAATGTGTGTTGTGTGTGTGTGTGTGTGCGCGCACCTCGTGTGTAAACATTCCCGCCGCAGTCAAGTGCAGCAGCGAGTGTGAGCTCGCGCGCATTACATACATAGAGATTCGTACGTATATGGTATACGGTCGGAGCTGCGGTGATCGATTATACTTTTTGACGTTTCGCGATGAGCGATGACGGAGGAAAAATGAGCCTCGCGGGTCCTCTCTCTCGCGCCTATACAGTGCAATTCGAATCACTCGAGCCGTGGCTTTCGTACAGACAGCGATGCAGCAGCTGCACAGCCCAGACTCGTGCGGTAATTGCAGAGCTCCGTCTGCGCACAGGCTCGCAGCTATGTGGCTGTCCTTTCTGCGCCGGGCTGTCTTCGGCGATCCGCGCAACATCGTCGCACCGCTGCTGCTATCTTCATTAAATATTACCATCAATAGGCGCGCGCGAGCTCGAGCAGTGAAAGTCACATATTATTACAGGCGCACTTGGTTCGTGCTTCGCTTGTGCAATCGCGTTGTGTGCACGCCGCGCGATTCGCTGTCGATCGCGCACCTCTATAAACACTACTGCGCACAATCTGGCGAGAGGCATGCACCTCTCGATTATTTCCATTGATTATCCTGCGCGTCTTGCGCTAAAAGTGCACACAGCGTAATGCTTATTATTCGAAGGCAAAGACGACGGGACTTACTCGCGCGTGGCGCATGTGCGCGTACGCCACTACAGGAGAGCCGACTGACGCTTCTTTTTCGCGTCCTGCAACATTGTTTTACGGCTCGCGGCGCATTTATCATTGCCAGCGATCGTTTGCATACACGTATTATACTGCCTACAGCCAATATATACGCACATATATACGTCGAGTGCCATTTCACCGGACAAGGACATTTATATTATTTTTCATTACTCTGTCAAAGGATAAAGTTACGTAAAGATCCTCTCGTCTCGTGTCCAGGCTCGCGTCGATTGCCTTTATAGTGCGCGCGCTTTTAACAACGTAACAGTAAAGTGTGCCCGTCACCCGTGTGGGCCGCTGCTGCTGCTGCTGTTGCTGCACTACCCCACTCAGACGTGAGCTGAACTGTGTTTTTCCCGCGCCGTAAATATTTTTATTCGATAAAAATGATCAAATTGCCCCGCGACTGCATTCCGAATGAACGATTCGACGCTTCGCGCGCGCGCGCACAACTGTTATTTCGAGCTGGCAGCTCTTACAAATGTATACAAGCGGTTTACAACGCTCCCGAAGGAAGATTAATTTTTTTTTTACAACGGGCGCCTCGCCGTGACTGGGGCAAATTTCTTCGAGTTGGACGAGAGAAAGAGAATGAAAACGGTGCGGGCCGTGCTATAGAATATCGGCAGCTAAGAGAGTATTATAACAAGATTGCACAGTTGTGCACAGCAGCAGCATCGGCTGAATAAACGGTGAAAGATTCTAATCAAGAGGCAGAAACTAGACCGATACCTGCGATTTTTCTTCATTACGTGTTCAATTATTCATTGAGAGGAGCTAGCT